CGTTCGTAGGAGTGCTGATTTATTTTTAGTATTATACGATCATATTGTGAATGATAAAAATGAATGACTCATTATCAAAGCGAATTATTGATGTTTGAATATAGGGATTATTAAGTGAATTTGATGAAATTTTGTTTTTCAACAGTAATGTCATGTTGGTAATCATGTAGTATGGTACATATTTTTATTGCCATAGTAACAGAAAAACATTTACATATTTCAAATTATTGATCGAACACATCTAAAGCCTTCTCATATTGTTGAGAATCAATAAGTTTCTTCACTGCTGAGTTTAGTTTTATCAGTAAAGAGATCGTAAATTTTTCATTTCATTTCTAATATAATGATAACAAGCGTTGAAAAGGTGTTGGTATGGAAGTGAGCATCAGTGATTTTCTCTCTGCACCGACACACACATCTACATCCTCAAAAATGCTTGCGCGAAACGGAAACCATCGTCAAGTTGAACTAAAAAAGGAATAAAGCAATTTAAATAAAAACACAATTACATTTTGAGAAAGAATCAGTAATATTATATAAAATAAGTAAAAGAAAACTAAATATAAGAAGCAAGTCACTTGTATAACTAGAATATTGAATATTATTTTAAATAGTAAAATGTATGCTTTCATAAAAGAAACACATTCATTCATATACACTAGGATCGTTAATAGGAGAAAAAAAATTACAACTTTATTGGACGTCACAGCATTATCAGAAGAATGTAACTAAGTTTTCATCACGCACAAGTCTACAGTGAGATCAATTCAATTAACACATATTGCATTGTTCTCATGCGAGCATAGCTTAATTAGAATATGTTGCAGGCAAAATTGAAATTCTAATTTTGATCAGACACGATTAGAATTCTAATATCGACCAGATATTCATCAGTCAGAAGTGAAATTCGAATTTCGCCTAGGCAAATTTAGATATTGCCTAACTTCTAATTTTGCCTAGAACAGATGCATATCATTGTCATTCTATCAGCTAGCATGAGATGAATATGTACTTTTCTTTTTTCTTTTTCAATCGTCAATGTAAAAGAAAAAACACCGTCATCACCTTTTCTCACTTCGTTTACACCATAGAACAAATGAAGAGTAGAAAACAAAATAATTATCTAACCGTCGTAAAAGACGGATGCAACTGTTTAATTCATCAACCGAGCATACATTCAATACATATAGAGAATAGACTTGTACAATGTGTCCATTATCTAATAACTTCACCATGAAAGCAATAAATGACACCCCGTTTTCACTTTCAAACAAATATCCCAGTTTCTAAGTATCAAACGTATCCAAGGACGTCTCACTTTAGAAAAAGTATTATTATCGCAACACTCAACAATAACGTTCGATCGATTAAAGACTTCAAATCAAATGGCATACAATAAAAAACAACCATATTGAGAACTTTACTCTTCACCTTAAATAACGGCAAAAATAAATCTACGATCAAAACATGAGACATGAATTTTCTTTTCAACAACAATTTTTCACCTAAATCATTCGAATCATAAATACAAGATCGAAATAGAACAACTATTTCTGATTACTGACGTGAATTTTTTTGGACATTCTTTCATCGCTGAATGTACAAAAGGAATACCTGGAGTCTTTTTCATTAGCAGGATGAATTTTTCACTTGCATCATATTCAATAATTACAATATGCTGCAAATAGTAAACATTTCATTTGACAAAAACATAAATTTTTTTATTTTTCGTGGTTTGAATGTTTGAAATTGAACTGACATAATAGACGATGTAGGTGAAGAGAAGATTTACATTCACATCCTCATACTAACAGCTTTTCAGTATGTTTTCTTTTAAAAACTATTTTTTTGTTCACTCTTTTTTTTCTAGCTTCTAGCTCGACAGTCTCTTTCTCTGCTTTTCTTTCTTAATGAACATTCAGGTGTTGACAGCAAGAAAAGTATGCCCTCATAACGAAAGGGATCAAAGCAAAAAATATTACGAGCGGTGGGGAACGAATAAGTCAGTCGATAAATAAGAAAAAAAAAGAATTCTCGCAAGTCAACTACAAAAGAGGAATAAACTGGCAAAGGAGAACACGTTGAGTTCTGTCTCAACATACAAACCCGAGAGAAAAAAATATAATACGTACTAGCGACGAGTAACAGAACGAAAAAAACAACAACATAATTTCTAGTCAATAGAGCGGTTTTGTATTCTTTCCACTAAAATACGAGTCTGGTACACGATATAAAATCAGGTTATCCACACTTAGTATTTTCCAGTTTCTCTACTGTGGAAGTCAAATTGACTACCGATTTTCTTTTGAACACAATTAATGACTTAAATTTTCATTACATTTACGATGATGTAGTCTTTTTAACAACGATTTGTATCTAGCCCAGTCACAATGACCTCTAATGCAAAGAAAGCAAAACTTGCTGAGACTATATACTCTAGTTACGCTCGCAAATAACAATTCAAAATATGATCTAATATCAATGTGTGCTTGCTCTTGCGAACATTATTTTAAGAGGAGAAAGAAAGAAAAAAAATTTATTCCACAGTCGCAGTCGAAGCACAATCATTTGAAGAAACAACATAATAGCGAGTAACAATCCATCCGACGTAAAAGTAAATGTGACTTTATTTTTTTGAATTTCTATAGTAATTTTCTCTACGGTTTCGTATTAATATGACACTAAATATTCTGAACATAACATACCTTTTCAAATCTCGAACGTGAGACCAAACTATTGACGATTAACAGAGGATTCATCGCAAAATCATCCAAAGTTGCCAGAGTAAAACCATTGATTTTGGACTTGAGTATGATTCGACGAGACTTTTCATTTGATAGAGGAAAATCGAATAATAGAATCTTTTCCTCTCGTCATCTTAGATAGCCATGTAGCGGATTCTCTATAAAAAAAAAAGTTTGAGACCGATTATTCCGGCATATAGAAGCAACACTAGTAGTTGTGCCAGATGGTCTAGAACAAAATCAGACAATTTTTATTACTGTTAAAATTTTAGCCTCATCAATGTTCCTAAATCGCTCTCCACTCTCTTAGTAATAAAATACTCGGTGTTTTATGATAGTGATTTCAAATTTGACCGTTTATAATCTAAGAAAATCGTCAGACTGGTAAGACAAGCAACTGAAACTTCAGAAAGAATGAAATCAATAGATGATATATTTTGGACTTCCTTCTCTTGACATGCCCAAATGATCGGCTGTGCTATCCTTTCACAGCATCATCACTAGACGGAAAGTTTGACGAAGAAACAAACCACACATTTGTATGTTTTAAAAAGATTTCTTGTTTTTGACAGCAATTTTGATTTCTAAGTAACCAGAAATTTGAATAATTGTTTTCGAAGTAGTGGATGATAGGAGATGACGATGAAAATCTTCATTAGTTTCAGTCAACTGATTCATGGATCCAATCAACTTGCAATACCTTATCCAAGATTGAAATAAGTTTTGAAAAGCCTAACTTGCTCAGACGAGTTATCGTTGTCTAAGAATACGAGATTCGACCGTTCCATAAAGATCCGTAAACTTTATCTTCTGATTGAAGCTCAGCGATATCTTCATCATGCACTTTAAAAATGATTGAATTTAGGTGAAAAACTGAAAAGTTTGAATATTGAAGGATTTTAGCAGGAATTTTAAGACTGGAGCGACATATTAGAAGATACTATGAAAAACTTTTGTTTGCAAGAGCATGTCAAACAACACCAAGTAAATCAAAAGATGTAACGTCAAAGTCTTGACGAAATAATATGCTTTGTTGAGCATCAATTGTTTTCATTATTTTCAAAATACGATAGTCCAAAAATGAATGGGTCTAAGGTTCTTAGATGTAAATCAGTACAACTAAAGGATCTTCGTCGATCTTCATATTTTAATCACACAGAGATTACACTGGAAGCCTTTTCTACTTAGCATTTTTTTTTGAGATGGAAATGAGATTGGTCGAAACGCTTTAGCAATTCAGAACTTTTATGTTAGTTCGAGTTGAACATTTTTGAAAACTTATTCCTCTGATATCAATCATCAACATACTTCACTTTCTTAGTGTTCCAGAATTCCGATCTAATCAACAATAAAACTTTCAGAAGTTTCTGTCCGACTAACACGTGCAAACATCTTTCTCTGTCAATTGCTCCGAATGTGAGTTGTAAAACATTGTCGAAGACGTGTCTTTCTTGGTTACGATTGTTCTAGTATAATGATATCTCTGCTCCTTAGCTCTCAATTTTTGTATAATCCTTCTGTTCTTATTGCTGTATATTTCAGATTCACTCTTGTTCTCGTAACAGCATGTTGCTCTCATTATTTTTTGTGCCGCACAAGACAAGAGATGGATAAAGAAGAGTGTATATATAAAAGTTATCCATTTGTTCAATTATCTTTTGTCATTTCCTTTAGTTCTCTTTATTTTTATTTTTACATAAGAGATTTATTATGTACTATAAATACTTCAATACTGAGTAAAGTAACTGTTTTTTCTCTTGTCTTACGTTATCTCTCGTGTATTTTACACTGTTAGTTACTCATTATTGTATTCCTTTTCTGATATCAATTTGAGATCTATCCTATCCTTTATCGTTGTATTTATTCGAATTAGATTTTATTGTAGAAATTCATTACAAAAGTCAAAATTTTTCCATCAATTACATACATGAATAGTAATATGACCGAAAGCATAAATGACATGCAAGAAATTCACGATATCAAACTACAGAAACCCACCTTTTATAATCAATACTTACCATTTGCCGATTCGATAAGTCGACGAGGTTCGGCATGGTTCGAAGAAATTCGAGAGAATTTATCGCGTACCATTCAAATAGGCGAATTACGACCGGGTTTTGCAATTTGGTCATATGAATTACATCAATTTCTTTCATTCTATGGATTCTATTTTACTAAAGTCGAACATCTCAAGCTTATCGATTTCTATCTGTCTATTCTTTCTATTACTGATTTGAATTATTGCAATGTGCAAATATGTCTGGACAGATTATACGATCTCTTACGGTTAGTAACTATTTATTTCTTATCTTGTATAATTAAAACAAAACACATAGGGTCGCATTTTCGAATTGTATGATATTTTTTTTGTTCTATAGAAAAACTCGTCTGATCACTCGAGATGAATTAACAATCGATTGGCATATACTTTATCATTGGGCTAAACTCATTTTTGACAATCATGATCAAAATCATTCATTGATTACATTGCCTAAGTTCGTAGCCGAATTGTCACAATCGAGAGTGATTAGAATTTGTTATTTATGTCGATTTTCTTCTTTTTTCTTCTTCAGAGACATCAAGGATTCCTTATTTTTCTGTATGTTTAACTGTTCTCCGTATTTTTCGGCAACGGCAACACAAGAGATTCTCGACGAATTTCGTCCACGTTTGTGTCCAACTGATTGGACCTTTGCCAATACTATTCGAATGCTCGAACTCTTCTTACCTGTATATTTGCCACCGAATTTGCACAATCAAGGATTCAAGTTTGTTTGTTTTGTTCTCTAACTCTACGTTACATTACGTTGCATCGCATCACATTCTAACTTCAGATTATGGCTGCCGGAAGTTTTTGGTATTTGGGATAGTATATATAATGATACAGTGTGGGAATTGGTGAGTTTGTTTATTTTTTATATTTATCAACTCATATCGTTTTATATAGCGTCTGACAATACTTTTTTCAAGTGTCGCTTGGTACAATATTGGATATATAAATTGGGAACCTTGGATGTCACAGGTGTCAAATTTATTGATTCTGATTTTTTAAAAATTTTCTTAACATTTTTTTTTCTGTTAGATCTTCACACGCATACTCCGAGGTTTTTCACTTCCGATCGGCAAATTACAAATATCACCGCATAAATACAGTTATTTGATGTATTCTATTAGCAGATGGATTATTGCTATGATTGGCAATCGAAGTTCGTGCCTTCAATATTTGCGAGATCTATTCACTGCCATCAAAAGTTTCTATCATCCATCGAATACGGGAGATTTTCAAGAAGATCTTGTTAATTTTGTCTTAAATCTTTCTTATTGTTTTGTCGAACGAATTCATTTGTGAGTACAATCACTATACGTATTTATGATATGTGTATGAATTGTGTAAAATTTTTATAGCGAACGAAAATCTTGTCCTGTTTGGCAGTTCGCACCGCACGAATCATATCGACTTACCGAACAGGATATTACTGATTTTGTCAATTGTGTCCAAGAATATGCGTTCATTTCCATTTTTAATAAAGATCATGCCAAGAACGCGACGGAAGCCTGTCAATATCTATCTATGCTTCGACCTGAACTGATCGTACCACCGATTATTGAAAAGTCTGATACATATGTTACTCATTTTCTTTCTCAATAACTTAATCTTTGATTCATTTGTAGACTTTTCGCATCAATTGATAATACGAATGAACCACATCGATTCACATCAATCATGACTTGTCTAACACGTATTACTCGTCAATTAGTACGACAAACAGCTTGTTATTCTCAAGGGCAAACCTATGTGTTACCATTAATTATGTCCGTATTACCAGGTATTGATTTAAATGATTTCAAAAAGACATCAGTTACATTAGAATTTCTCAATACAATTTTCATGCTTATTACATGTGTTGATTGTTCATCAGCAATACATATTCGAAAAGATCTAACCGATGTGAGAGTTTGTTTTTGATTTCAAGAAAAAGTTGGAATTTTTACTATTATTTTAATAGATTGAAAAAGAAGTTTGTTTATCAACAGCAAAATTTGGTGATTTTATCAATGAATTTCTTGATCGCATTTTTCGAATGATTAGAATTCTATCGACCGACATGTCTGATGCGGCTGTAATAATCGACGAAGCGAATATGGAAGATACCACTCTCGAATCGAAACTTACATCGATCATGGCCAATATTGTTCAGCAATGCAGTAGTAAAATCTTTCAAGTATGTATATACACATATCACTATATGTCCACAAAGTAAAAAATTATCGGTGAAATGAAGATCCTCACCTTTCTCATAGAAGCACTTCTATATTTGAATAAAACCATATTCTGGAATTTCGATCTGAAAAATTATCCAAACAAAGGGCTCGGTAAGGTCGGGTAAAGTACAAAATCTCAGAATTTTCAAAGTATAGGCGATTTACCATTGATCATACAATATGATTTTATTCAAATATTGGAATCCTATCAATTGATCAAAATATGGGCTCAAAAACTTTTCATCAGTGGAAATCTTTCCTCGTCAGTCATGATTTCGAACTAATCAAACAGGAATTTATACATTATTAATTTTGCGTGTGTGTGTGTGTTCGATATTTAGATCATTCGAGAGAAGATAACAGATTTTGTTACTCATTCATATTGGTCTGCTAAAGTGAGAAAAATTGTCGCGAGTCTTGTTCAAGCTATTGTCTTAGGCGATCCAGTCGAAACACTCAAGTATCTCTTACCAAAAACATGTGATTCTATCAACAAGATCATGAATGATGCAGAAGGACATGGTTTACTAACCGATCATAAAGGTGACAAAGAACTTACTTGGTATTTATTTCTTTTCTCGGAACTTGTCCGTGCCCGCGGTGATACTCTCATAATTTACAGACAAATGATTATCTTAGTGTTTCATCGATGTATTCAAATTATTCATAAAGGTTCATATAAAGCTGTTGCTAGTGCAGCTAAGCATTTACTTAAATCACTCACTCATATATATATGATCAATACTCGATGGACGGGTGAAAATATCGATGGACCATATGTCGATTTTTTGCCTATCCGAGTAAGTTTGTCTTATTTCTTGCTCATATGTCGGATTGATTACTTGTATGATTGTATAGGTATGGGGTCAACCTGTTGATGTCGATAAATTTCAAGTTCAATTTCATATTCCTGGTGACGATGAACTTGATTTTGTTCGTGAATTTGTTGAGACGTTCATCTATATCGAACTGGATTTATTAAAGGAGACAAACTCGAAACTATCGAATAATGAACGATTAAGATCGCTCACAATCGTTCATCACATTGCTATGGGATGTTTCCGCATAGTACCACGTATTGGTAGTCCAAACGTACAAAATCTGTGAGTAAATCTACAGCATTAAAAAAAACGTTCGAAAAAAAAAACAATATTGTATTATTGTTGTATTGTGACAGAGTGCCAACAGTTGTTTCCTACAGTTCACAATCTCAAGCTCAATATTCGATGTATTCTAAAGAGCCAAGTAAGAAAAATCATTTCGAAAGAACTGATATTTTTCAGAATGATTTTCATTTTCAGAATTTCGAGAAAATTTACGATTGCGTCTTCTCATCGATATTGGAAAATTACTTGGTCAGTATTTTATTGATGAATCATTTCAAACCTATTCTATTGATTTCGTAGACATACTTGTAGCAAACCATTCAGACGATGTTGCATCCATCAAAATTGCACATAAGGTAGGCATTAGGATCATGCCTGATACTACTTCATTAGTCAATGCACATTTTAAATTGTAGATCTATTCAGCCACATCTATCTGCTATGGCGGATCTAAACATCATGTTAATGAATTACGCAAAGAATTTCAATCTAACAAACTGTTCATAAAAAATAGACTCTGTGGTGAACGACAAAATCCTCGATTTTTAGTAATGAAAAGAATAGCATTACAGATCGAGGTAATCGAATAGGATAAAAGTGAAGAAAGATAAGACTGATTCATTTGTTTTTTGTAGCAATTCGAAATGGTTGAATATGGAACGTTCACTGAAATCGACAAACAAGTCGCACTGAAGTTGTTTGAACTATCGATAAATCGATATAGTGAAGTAGATTAGAACGTTTGTTCTGTAAGGATATTCGTATCTGTTTCTGAAATCTTAGATACGTCGTCAAGCACAAACTGAATTGTTTTCTGTTCTCAGTCGTTATCGTTTTTCATCACAAGTTATTGTCGATCGTATTACAGAACTGCTCAATGCATCGAGCGAAGTCGATCATGATCAAATCAAAGTTGGTTATCGCTGTCTTTCTCCTAGAAATGTTTGGTTTTTTTCTAATCCATATTTACCTAGGGTTGTCTGTATATTCTTCTCGGCAATAATGCTTGCTTCTTGCCCACGGAAGATTCGTGGACAACAATAGAAAAGTTATGGTCAACACTTGTGCGTATGCCTCATGCGAACAAAATTAGTACACAAAATTTGATCAGTGATATCAAGAAAAAAATCGACAAAATCTTCGTTACAAAAGAGATTATTCAAAATACCAACGAGAAATCAATACGTTCGGCAGTCGTTCTATGGCGTCCGTTAGAGTCGAACGAAATGGACATACATGAAATACGTAATCAAGCCAATATTCAATCGTACAATAAGCTTATGGAAACCTTGAGTTCTCTATTGAAAGGCAATATTTTGTAAGTCTTCAGTTTTCATATCTGAAAATTATCTTCATTCTTTTTTATGATGAACATACAGGTCATGGAGACAACAAGAGATGGCAATGTCATTCCTTTGTCTTCTTCTTCAAAGATATGTACCAGTGCCATCGTCATGCATTCACACATGTATTGATCTTCTTGTTCATGACCATATTGAATTGAGAAAAGTTCGTTGATAAAAGCATACAGAAAAATGAATGATCTTTCGATTAATTCTATTTAGTATGCTATACAGAGCATAGCGGCCATTTGTCGTTTACAAAAATCACCTCGAATATATGTTGAAAAGTCTCTCGACGAGGTTCTTCATGAAACCAAGAAGGAGTCATCATCAGTCACTATGCATGATGAATGTCATCCGGGCGATCGTGACGATAATTTATGGGTAACTATTGATTGTTATAAACCACCCGAAACTCAAGTCGAATGGGAACAAACGTGCTTTTTGGATAAAACGTTTCATGGTTATTATACATGGCCAAAAATGATTAAATATTCGATGAATAAACGAGCACGTTACACACAAAATGATATGCCAGAACAAGTGGCCATCATTTATAATCGTTTTATGGACAAGAATTTTCTTATACAATCAACAAAATTAATGATTTCAGACGAGCATACCGACGAGATCAAGTTCGATTATGTCCGAGTTACTATGTTCAAGGTAATATATTGAAGTTACAATGATATAATATTTCAAAGGATAATTGAAGGCGTTTATTCAAATGCGAAAAACGCAGAGAGTTTCAAATCTGGTGAAAGAAACGTGTTTTTTCCATCAAAGTGTCGTCATTGTTCACCATTAAGAAAGAGGCATTGTTTAACGTTTATTTTAAGATTTTATTGCGCATCTGGTATTTTCTGGTCATTTGAGCTTAGATCCCTATAACAAGTAATAAAAAAATGAACAATGAAAAAGATGTCTGTTCCACAGCAAGTATAAGAAAACTTCCTTGAATCTCGTGAATCCTATGAAAGTAGACACTCTTCAAATCCACTCTATCTAATGATGAAAACCTGAAGTCGATCTCTGATTGTAATACAGAATTACTTGTGTAGTTTTTTTTCCAATGAACATGATGTAATATCTGTAGAAAAGTTTCATTTAAATCGAGCATGATGTTTCAATCTGCAAAAAAAGATGAAAACAATATCTACACATCTGCTTAAAAATGCGTTATGAAATGTATTCATGTTTCCTGGAACCGAAACTCTATTCGAGCAACAAGACGGATATCGATGATTTCTTCTGAGATCCTTCATTTTTCAGATTCATTTGCATTAACTACAGAACAATTTTCATTTTGGTAATTTAGCAGATCTGCTTTATCGAGTGACTGACTTCATTGTGAGATTTCAATTAAGGAATATTGAAATTTAATTCAATATTGATCATTTCCTCTTGAATGAAATAGATAAATGATTTGGTGTTTCTAGGGTCTCTTCCGTAATTTTGGACTCGTATTCGTTGATAATTTCATGGAACAATTGTATGTACTCATTCATGAAAAGACACACGAGAAGCAAGAGGGTAGTCACCGTGTGGGAGCCGAAATTGTAGCCGGCATGATTTGTGGTTCGAAATATTGGACATTAGAAATGGTAAGTAGAAATGTATCATTTTCGGCGACATTAACTTCATCCGATCATGAATCTGAAAACGAAGTCTATAGTTAGAAACAATGGTCAAGTTTTGAATTGAACATCGAATATTTACTTTAGCTTGATGAACTCTGGAAGAAGCTCACACCGTTTCTTACCGAAGTTTGTCTTAATCTCAGCCCCGAAACGCTCCGTCATTGGAATAAATGTTTCAAATGTACCATGGTCAGTTATTCTCTATTTTTTGAGATTATTGATTTTCTATTTCATTTACTCATTTATTGATTTATATTCAAGGAACATGAAGATCCTCGTCGAATGTATCGACTTATTGATTTTATGCGTACATTGATCAATAATCGAATCAGTTCGAATACTTTCAATGAAATATCTCGTTGGTCTCTCATTCAAACATTGAGAATGTTTCAATGGCGTATTCCATCAATTTGGTGTACTATCCATGAATATGCTAGAGAACTACTTGATCATTCGTTCAAACCTGTCCGTGAACATATTGCCAAGTAAGAGATATTTTAATTTCCTATGTTTTGTACTGACTCACAACGAACGTTTCTTTTTTTTATTTTGAAAAACCAGTGTATTATCGATGTCATTCAGTTTCAATATAAGATTATTCAATGGGAAATCCACACGTCATCCTTCTATCAATCAATGCATGGATGTTATATGTGAAAGATTGCATCAAGCTATCGAAATTTATGAAAAGACGCCGCTGGGTAGGACATGATTTTACTTCTCAATTTTTCTTTCTTCGTCTTTGAAAGGTTATTCTCTGTTTGAATAACATGTTCAGTCAGTGTCTACGGTCAGTTCGTCGAAATCGATCCTGAAGCTTCTAAAGCGTTGAATTTAATTGAGACAGGTAGAGATTTCATTTTAGTTGCTGAAAAAATATAACATCAAATACTTTCATTTTCATGTAATACAATTTAGTAATTCTAATGCACACAAATTTGTTTACCTGGTGTCGACAACCGATCAAAAATGCGATTCTTCGCATGTTTTCCTATGTATGTACTCACATTTGACTTACGAAAGTTAATAATGCATACTATGACATGGTAATGTATCGACAATAATTTTTCGGAAATAGACTTAATTATGGATGAAGCACGATATAGTTCTGTATTTATCTTATATACAGCTAGAAAGGTCTAAAGTAGTCACGATTAGCGTGTGATCGTCTATTAAAATTATCGTGAAAATGTTAGAATACAAAAAAAAAAACTTACTGTAAGGTTCACTAGAAAAAATTGATTATTTCCCACTTTTGAAAGTGCTAATGCTTGGAACATACTCACATACAATTATTTCGAAGAAAACGTTCTTATAATTATAGTTTGGTTGAATTTGAATTGTCATACATTAGTTTTGTCATATTGGATTTCTTCACTATTCGTTTAGCTCTGTGAAATTGAAAGTATTGCGGCCAATGATCCTATATTTAAAAAAAATTTGGCAACCAGTCGAATGCATGTAGCTATGGCTTATTTAAATGGACAGTATTTGGAAACATTGATTGAACAATTGGAACAAGTACGTATACAAATGAAACGATGGATGATCAGTAGTTTTATGATAAAAAAAAATGAGAATATTCTCACTCAATCAAAATCAAACGACTGATATCTTCATCGATGGTAGAGTTTTAAAAATGTTTTATTCATAAGAAATATAAAAGAAAACCTTTAAGAAATACTGATTTGAACTATCGACATTGGTTTCAACCAAAATTTATAACCTTTAACTGTTTGTGAAAACACATTATGTATGCAAAGGGTAATTTGATATTTTAATACATTCGATTTAATATGAAATTAATTCTACTCGAAATCTCTTTGTATAGATGGGTCTAGTTAGTATATTATTGAATAGAACATAGTGAATTTATAAGAATTTACTCTGCGATATGAGCTTTTAGAATACACTATTTTCATATGAAGAAAAACGAAATTATTCTATTTAATTTTAACAGAACGGAGACATTCAATTTTCTATCGTAAAGCTGTTTATGATCCACCCTATCGATCACATCGAGTGTGTTTTTTTTCTCTTGACATACAGGTGTGCACAAGTGCCAAGTGGCATGCACGTCAAGCAGCCATCGAATCTGTTCAAAGCATGATCTTTTGCAATCTTTTTAATGCTCGTCCTTATACTAAACGATTACATGAACTTGTGCTCAAATGTCTATTTGATGAACGATTAGAAGTGCGCACAGTCGCATCGATGACATTGTCAGGCTTATACCAGTGTGGTTACATTCAAATGATCGATCATGATCTGGTAGGGTGATTCTTGGTTGTTTTTTTTGGATTAATATAAAATAAATTTTAATTTGAATATTTTCAAAGAAATATTTTCGTGTCATGGCCAAAACCAAGTATCTGACGAAGATCGATGGAAAGAAAGTGAAATCGACGAAGAGTATTGTTCAACGACATGGAGGCCAGTATATGCGTTAATAAAATCCATTGAGTTTGTTGTTACACACAGTGCTGAGCATAAATTGACGCTACCAATCAGAGTTAACAGTAGTTTTCAATATATGAATGCATCTTTTTCTATACATAGATAATAAATCATCACAACTCGTAGTTTTCTCATGAGTACACCTCACTGAGATATTGATAATCTCAGAAGATTTTGTTGAGTATCTATTTCTCCTTGACTTAGTCCTGATCATTCTTAAAAACTTCCGGAAGTTAGAACACAAATAGATGATACTTTGTCTCAATCATTAATCGACATTCCTTACTAATAAATTATTTTTAGAGGGAATCATTTTTTTGTGCTGAAAATTCCAGAATTCTCTTAGAACATCAGAGTTCTACCATTCAATAAAACGTCAGGTCGAAATTTTGATATTTGAATTTTTAGTCGATTACTTACCACAGAATAAATATCTGACAGAATGTATTAACTGAAGAAAGAATAAACATAAGATTGAATGTTCTTCTTCAAGTCTATGTATTCGAAACTAAAACTATTTTTCATAAGCTTCTGAATATTCCAATATTCAGCATTGATACTTCGAACAGTAATGTCTAATTTTGGCTATCATTGTAGGTATCTTGGGCCTCTGTGCGATTGTCCTTTCGAGCCCATACGATATTCCAACTTATTTACCAGACGCATTGATGATTCTCTGCGAACACTCTTATGATCCTGATCCAATACAAGTGAGTATTTTTTTTTGTTGTGGTTATATTAGCCAACAAGTTGTTATTTCTCTTTAGAAATCGATTAAACAATGTTTGTCCGAGTTTCGTCGTACTCACTACGACTCATGGCATGAACATCAGGAAAAATTCACCGAACGTCAACTTCTGCTTTTGGCCGATGCATTCATTTCTCGTAGTTATTATGCCTGAAAGTGTGCTGATATATATATATATGTTTGTGTGTAGCCTAGTGTGATATTTTATTTTCTTCCATATAGAATACTCTTTTTTAAACAAAAATAAATCAGTTACATGCTCGCTACCAGTAGAGCTTGCTAAAATAGCACAACGAAAAGCTTTCTTACCATTGACTAGCGTTCGATATTGGTACAACAAAATTGTTTTTATTTTAGATTACTTTATTGAATAAATTTCATAAGCAGTAAGTATAATATTTTCATTTATTTTTATTCATTTTCGATCATTTTATTATATAAAGTCAAGCAACGGCAAATGTTAATTTTTTTTTAAATTTTTTCGTTACTTTAGTTCATTTTACGATATAAGCTCAAGAAACAGTATGCATCGTTTTTTTATTTAGTTATTTCATTTATTTTAAGCCATCTAATGATGTAAACCAAGAAAAAGTGAGTATAAATTATTTATTTACTTTTTTTTCTTTATTTAGATCCCTATGTTGAGTCAGTTCAATTCATAGCAAGTAAATTCTTTTTTATATAGTGGTTTCTTTTATTTATTTTAGTTAATTTACGATAGAAATTCACCAGAGAGTGAGTATATTTTTTTGTATTCAATTATTTTCGTTATATCAGATCATTTTGCAATATGAACTTAAGTGACAGTAAGTATAATTTCTTGATTTAATTTTCTGCCTTTTTTAAATCGTTTTATAGTATGATGGTACAGATGTTCATATGGGTGTAATATATGGTGACAACGTCCATATTCGACCGTACACTGTTAATATATGATCGTTTACGATCGTATACACTCCGTGTACGACCTCTGCTTTTCTGCGTATACGGTCATCAAGATGTACGATTGTAATACTGGGCCATATAGTACGGTCGTATACAAAGCGTATATGACATGTATGCGGCCGTAAACGATTGCATGCGGAATCCGTAACGGACGACGTGGATTCTTTATGTCATTTATCATATTTCAAAATGATTTTTTTATTTAATATAAAATTCGAATGAGTTCATTTATTAGTTTCCAATCCAGTTTATCATAGTTCAGATATTACTATTTACTTTTTATTATCTTTTTGTAATAAATGGCTTTCGATTTCCCTTAAATTGATACTCTATTTGGCGAAACAAATGTTATTGATATTGTTGTGTTATATATTAAACTATCCACTTTACCTATTCAATTTACATTTATTGGAGAAGTATTTTCTGTTTTTTATAACTATGTAACTTCTATTTCATCGTGATACATTATTCTATTCATTTTTTTATTATATCTACTCAACTTGTTTTGTGAAACACGATCTGAAAGGAGTGTTGAAGTGTTTAGGGGCAGAAATTTGCACCCCTCCCCCCACAGACTGTGACAGAGAACCTCCAGACTCATCACAGACCGTGGCAGAGAAACCCTAGTACCCATCACAGACCGTGACAAAGAAACCTTAGTGCCCATCACAGACCGTGGCAGAGAAAGCCCAGTATCCATTACAGAAATAGATAGACCTGTTCTTGTATGAAGTACGATTAAATGTCGCTAGAATTTCATGGAAATATTTCAACTGCTTTCTTTTTGTAGCTCCAGAGGAGTTAATAAACAATAATTTATTAACGGATACGAAGATATCGAAGAAAATATATTCATGTGACTAGTAACAACAGCTGCGTCGTGTTTCACATTTTAATCTCGCAGGGATTGCGCTAACAGCTTTCTTAGATATATTTATATCTTGAACAATTCAAGTACTTCTTTAGTTTTCTGACAACAATATATTGTACAACAAGGTTTTCTCTTCCCGCTATTGTTCTATGATTTATTTTCTTGCTCTCTGTTATTTGTTAACTCTCACTTCTTTTCTTATCTCCTTCTACACATTTCTTTAAAAGGAAACCATAGATGAAACATCATTTTTTTTGTGTAATAGGTGAGTGTCATGATCCGTGCTAACACAAAAGATCATATATATTATTTTCTAATATCCCTTTCTCTTTTCTTTTCTCTTTTTTTCTGCTTATTCTGTATATCTATATAAACATATGTATTCCACTCCCTTTTGGGTGATTATATATGATCATGTGTGTTAGCGGTTGTCCTTTTAGATCAACGCTAAGTTCGTTCTCTTTCTTTTACGGAAAAAATGTATATATATGTGTGTGTATACGTACACTTGCACACGATCTTTTATTTTATATTTTAAATGATGGAAAACACGTACATATATAGTGAGCGAGAAACAAAAAGAGAAGAAAGAAAAGAGAGAAAAAAAAGAAAGAGAACAGAGACTAGGTATATGAATAGTAAAAGAGAAGACTATATATATCACCCAGAAAGAAATAGAAAACGAAATAAAAAATAAAACAAAAAATGAAGATAGATGGCGAGTTGTATCAGTGCGACATCACTGTAACAATGTGCCGCCTATGTGATTATATGTATGCATATATATGTATGCGTATTCTGAACTGAAAAATAAATAATAGGTTACATAAATCTTTAACAAATACAGCACATCAAAGAAAAAGAGATGAATAACAACGAAGAAAAATGAAAGTAGCAATGAATAATACTTTTTCTATCCGTTTAAAAGGAAGATTATAGTCAAGTGTCGTGCACATCATTATCATTTTCCATCAGTTATAGGTTGAATAGTGAGATATTCTGGAGCTTTGATGGATGCCGCATATATCCATGGTGACCATATTTTACAAGGCGGATACTGTGGGTTGACTTGAAACAGTACACAAATACATTTGTTGGAAAATGCTCCTCGGTACGGTCGACAAAGCATATTTGCCAAGCATTGAAAATACCAATAATTTGCAGCATACCAAGAGAGAAAATATGACCAACATGGATTCTTTATGATGTCCACACTTGTATCTGGTATGTAACTGCTCGCACCTATATTGGTAAGCCCTAACCGACCAGAGCTTGTAAGTATATCGTAGGTTTCTTTTGTTATTTTGTCAATGGTGGCATTTGACCTTGTTACTGGTGGCTGTGGATCATCAGCAGCAGGTGCTGCATCTAACGGTTGAATTTGTAATAGTAATAAAGTAAATAAAACCAAATACATCGCAAATGACATCGCTATCTTATTGACTATCACTTTCGTATATAGAATACAGAACTGATAGTTTAGTTTAATTTTGTTGTAACTGGTAAATATGTAAATGTACACCTATCTGTTTCTCTTTATATATAATCTTTCTTCTCTAGCCTTTTGTTTACTTAAAGAGAGAGACTCCAAACAGCGCCCACGATCTACTTCATATCTGAATAACGATTTCGAATTGAGATTGATCTATGTAAACAATAGCAAATCATTACTAATAAATAAGGACGAATTTTCATCTCGAATAAACATGACTATTTTTTTCCTTCTCTTTCCCCCAATTATTGCAGAGAGAGAGAGAGAGAGTCGAAATAAGGTATCTTTCATGGCCATTGGCCATGATACGTCTTCAGTATTGTTCTGTTTTGTCCCTTCTTACGATATTTTAAAACATTTTCTTTTTCTTTTCTTTTCTCTTCGGCTCATCCTTCTGGAAAAGAAAACATCATCGGCATATCAATGCATGGGAGGAGGGCGGCATGTTCTCGAAGAGATAAATACAATGTACTTTTTTCAGTACGTATCTTGTTTGTTTTTTGTTATTTTGTTATTTTGTTTTTTGATTTTTTGTTTTTCGATTTTTTTTGTTTTTTGATTTTTTTGTGTGTTGTCGGTTGTTTGGGTTAAGGATGATTAAAGAAAAAAAGAGAGTATTGGGAAAGCAATCAACAGCATTCGATTAATTCTTGATGGCAATACTAATTTCGAACTGCGAATAATCTAGATACAAAATAGCGAATCATAACAGGTAAACAAGGACGAATTTTCATCTCGAGTAAACATGACTATTTTTTGAAATAAATATATTTCTTAAGATTTTATGTAATATCATATATTAATGAAAAATGAGAATATATGTAGATTAGTTTCATAGTGTTTATATCCATATAAAAAGAAGATAGAAAAAAAATCGATTATATGTAAGAAAATTTATTTTAATCGATTATATGTGAGAAAACCGACTTTTCGATAATTAAAAATCGATTAAAATTAGATTGTTCCCATTTTTTACATGGGTACTCTTGAATCAGTTTTAATCTATTCTTACTTCTTAATGGATCTTAATCGATTATTACTTGATAATCGATTTTAATCGTGTACATGGAAGATAAGCGCTTTTTCTCGAGATTCGAACGCGAAACCCCAATTTTTCATAATTTTTTGGATTTCTCGTGTTTAATAACCATGAAGTTATCACTAAGCTAAAGTTCGACAAATGAAGTAAACTTGGAACTGCTATACAAATTGTTTCACAACTGAGATGGCCCAATTACTACGTCAGTAATCGATTAGAAAAAAGGTTAATTGATTAAAATCGATTTTACAGAAATCGTAGTACAGATTAAAAATCTAATCGACTTTAATCGATTATTTTCTAAAATCGATAAGATTTTAAACGATTACTATAGTTTCTGTAACGAAATCGATTTTAATCGGTTCTTTCGATTTCTCTTTAAAACAATCAATTTTAATCGGTTTTTACTGAGTAATATCAATTAAAATTAAATCTTACACCGAATTTAATCGAAATCTGGTAGTTTTAATCGATTTTTTTGCGATTATTTTTCAAAGAATCGATTTTAATCAGATTTTTAGCGTTTTTTTTTACATGGGCAGATAACCAATATAATTATACAAGAAATTTCCGGTTTTTCTAACGACCATTTCCAACTTTTAGGCTGTTGATGGAAAAACAGTATAACAAAAACAAAAACGAAAAAAAACACACAGAACAAAATAGAATGTCCATAATAGAATCAAAAATTTTGTAGGAGAACATCATGACATATATATATGTATATATGTATTTATATACTATCATGAAAATAATAACATCAATAAAACGTTAACTTCAAGACCTATACATATATATATAATAACA